TTATAATTTATTACATTGGAATCATGATTCAATTCATCAGACCTACAAATTTGAACCTTTTTATATTATATTCTTGCTCTGCCTTGTACATAGAGATGTACCTGGATTTTATTCTCTTGGAAATATATATAATTTTCAAAGAATTTCTTTTTGCTGCCTAACATTTTTGTGCTTTTTGTGATACAAAAAGAGAGACTGAATAAATCTAGATGTAAAGCCAAAGGTTGCATTTAAGTTCAATATCAAGTCAGTTTCTGTTTATAAAATTTATAACGTAATCATTTGCAAATAACTAAGCTTTAAGGATTCTTCACTGCTTATACTTAAATTTAAGTTTAATGTGCCCATGACTCAGGGGAGCATCCCCACCACAGATAGTACCAGGTGGAAGCCAGGGTTAATCCATAGTATTCCCGAAAAGGGAAATGGTGAAGGGTTTGGGGGCGATTTTTTTTTTTTTTTTTTTTTTTTTTTTTCTCTCTCTATAGTCCTACATCTACATGGTACTCTCACTTTAAACTCTGCCTTCTGCTACATTCTTATCAAAAAAGAAAGGAAACAGTTATGCAATTATCAGTTAATAAACATGGAATTATCTCCCTTGGAGTTTTTTTTTTTTTTTTTTTAATGTGCCATGTGTGGATGGTAATAATCTCTATCTATAAAAGGCAGGATGTGTGTGTGTGTAACGAATGCAATTTTCGACGGATTTGCACCAAAATTTACATGCACATGTTCCAAGTTAGCGGGAATGGCAAGACCAACTTTGCATTTCCCAACTCCCATCGAGAGTGGAAATAATCGATTTTTTTCATGCTTCTATGGCAGTTTTCATGTAGTTTGCTGCCATTTTTTTACTGACCAGAGTGAGAGCCAATAGCTGGCTGCCACAAATATGCAGAAAGATTCTATTGGCCAGCGTGAGAGCCAACAGCTGACTGACACGAATGTTAACTAGCATGCAAAAAGAAAATCGATAGCTGCATTCGTCATAAGTGGGAAAAATTTAAATCTGCATGGCACTTTACTCCAATTGGCTCATTCGCTTGCTTAAAATCAACGTTGATTCTGATTCCGCAGAACTGGGTTGGGTGTGAAAAAGTATTTGTTGTTAACATTCTTTTTTCATTCGGTTTTTCTAGTTAGGAGTCCTTTTTTAAAGCTGATCATTTTGTGTTCATTTTGTTTAGTTCTTTTTTCGTACCAGATTTAATGTTTAGTATAGAGCTTAGAAAAAATTAGCAGTGTGAGATAGGCAAGAAGTAAGGCATGTAGCAACATCAGCACGGTAAAGGGCACTCTTTTAAAGGCAAGGAAGGGCAAAAATATTTTAAGTCAAGTGATAGCGATTGCTGTATGAGTCGTATGATTTTTGAATCAAGCACGGGCAACGCCGGGCCATGCTGCTAGTTCTCCATAATTTCTTCACTTTTATTATTCTAAGTAACTTTGTCCCTTTTTGACTTTATTCTGCCATCTGTTAAAGTAGTTTAATCACTTTTTTACAAAGCTTCTTTTGCTTTCAATGTCCTGTGCATGTTAAATTTTCATCATTGTCCCAGAAATTTCAGCTTTCTTTATAGTTCCTATTCTCAAAATTTTGTTGTCATTAATGTTCTCTCCATAGTATTCTTTGTTTGGGAGACATTTAAAAAAATAAATTGTAAACCAGTGTCCTAATTAGAATTGAAATTGCTTTAGCATTCAAATTAAACAAATCTTTTAAGGTATTTAGCTAACAAAAATTGCATTATGATGTACTATTTTTACTGTTTTATGATAACAAACATACAGATATTTAATGAATACTATTCTATAGATTACCTACTGCTTGTATGTATTTATCAAGTTTTCCTCTCTTTCATATATATATAAAATTGTGTAGTTAGGCAGCAACCCCTCTTTTATATACGTTTCATTAAAGATGACAGACAAAGTACTGTGATTGAGCTTTTTATTTAATTTTTGTGTTCAAACAAGTGTTTTCTGTTCTGGACACAGAGTGTGCAGAAACTGTCCAAATCTTTTGTAATTTCAATTTTTTTAAGCTATTCTTTTAGCCATTATCAAGGCTGATTTTATTTTTACTTTTTAACTGGATGTCTGTATGTAATGTTATGTATGTTATGTATGTATGTTATGTATGTATGTTATGTATGTATGTTATGTATGTTATGTATGTATGTTATGTATGTATGTATGTTATGTATGTTATGTATGTATGTTATGTATGTATGTATGTTATGTATGTTATGTTATGTATGTTATGTATGTATGTTATGTTATGTATGTTATGTATGTATGTTATGTATGTATGTATGTATAGCTATATTTTATTTTCTGAACACAGTCAGCACATTGTAGCCATGTTAATACTATTGAGTGTTGGCTTTTTCTTTTTTATTATTAAGGCTTCCATTATTTTTAATCATTTTTTTTTTTTTTTTTACACCTGGATGAGGTTATTATGCTTGTATTTTCTACTAGTGTATTTTGGATCGAGTCTGGTAAATTTGTATGTGTGTTTAAATTGGTTCTAATAGAGCTATGGTCGGCTAGGTATAACGCAAATCATCAGGATAAGCATCTAGTAGTGTGACCGATGTAATTAGGAGTTTGGTTTGATTGGGAACACAGTTCCTCAAGGGGCATTTGAACTCATAAATAATGTTTGTTCTTTGTAAGTTTGCTGGTGTGTTGTTATTTTTGAGGATAGGGTTAACTGTTTTAAATTTTTTGTAGTAGATATTTTTTTGTTCAAGTCAACTGGGATAGTGTATTTCTTTAATATTTCTAAATGAAGATTCATCTTGTTTATAGTTGACAGGCATTTGGCTTTTGTAGAAAGTATTTGTTATTTTTGTCTGTGTGTTCAGTATTGTTATTATTTATTTTGGAAAGAAATAGTCTAATCCGGTGGTCGATGAGGTGGTTGAGTTATTTAAGGAAAAGTAGACGAGATGATGAATTCTTGTGTGCTCTCCTTAGGAAGTTTATATATTAGTTAAATTTCTGTCCTAGATATTTTCCCTTTTAATGTGGATGATAATATGCTTTAAGACATTGGCTGATTGAGTAACTAAGGGAATCCTACACATAGTGAAGCCTTTAATTTACTTGATTCTTAAAATATTTTCCATTTAAAAGAAGAAAGAATTGTTATTTAGTTTGATAAAATTAGAATAAAATACTTGTTGATTGTCAGCAAATACTTGTAAAATTTGTATTGGTTGAGGTTGCTGTTGGTCACCAGAGAGGCCTTACATGTGGCTGAGGAGGATGAAGATTTTCAAAGTAAATGAATTCAACATTTTCAGAAGAAATAAATTCAACACATGAAGGAATTAACAAATAACCTAATTCAAGAAAAGAGAAAATGTACTTGTGTGTTCACAGATCCAAAAGGAAGTAAAACATAGGTTTTCCTGTTAGAAAGTGTATGTGATGACCAAAATGAAAAAGAAATCTGTTCTGGTAGCAAGAAGTGGGTTTGTAGAATAATTGGCCCTGATTAAAATGTAATTGGCTGAAATGCCCAACAAACAAGAGTTGACAAAGTTTGCCATAAACAATAACAAAAGAAAGGACAAAAATACTAAAACAAATAATATCTGCAAGATAAAATTAGGCAAAGTAACAGTGATGAGGTAAAAAAAATTCACAAACTGAGTATGGTGTTAACACACGAAAGTGATACAGAGAAGTGATTGCAATGTTCTAACTTCAAGACAATAAACAACAGAAATATGGTGGATGAGACTAAGAAGTGGTTTCTCATATTGGCTAGGTTGAAATCCCAGCAGATGAGTATGAGTCAACAGATTTGGGGAGGTGATGTTTTTGCTGTCATTCTTATGTGGATTAGAACCAATAGGATTTATTATCCTGACGTTTTTATAGTCCTGAACAGCTCTACCTAGTGGGAATCTTGGCAGATAAAGTGGGGATAATCACCACAGGACAATGCATAGATGAAAAAATAGAAGTTGGGATAAATAAACTAAATTAGATTTTACACAAGCAAGAATTGTTTGTCCTACATTTTATTATTATTTATTCTTGCTACCTTTTCAAATTCAACTTTAAATAAATTTATTATAGAATATTCTTTATAACAAACTAAATCCACTATATGATACATTTTTCTTACCCTTTTGAAGCTAATAGACCATAATTAACTGGTGCCGGGCATTTTCTTTCTGTCTACCAAAGCCAAAAAGTATCTTTTTCTGTTTCATTTTTATTGCCTGGTGAATCTCAACTGAGCTTCCTTTAGAGCTTATAAAATAGAAAAAAATGGAAAAAGCTAATAAATTAAAAGTATAACTGGCTCTTATACCTGGCAGTTTAACACGTCATCTGCAACATCTCAATGTTTCTATCCTTTAAGACTTTAATGCAGGCAGAATGGGACAATTGGTTGCAACTGGAGGTATTATTTTATGATCCTTAATGGATGTCTGCTTAGGTGTGTATGTGGGGGTGAAGAGATCATGAGGTGGGGGAAAGAATAAATGATATAGTGACTCATTTGAGAAATGCAGTATCAGTATCACAATCGATTAGATAGAGAATGACATTGTCTTTGATCATAATACTGGATCCAATGACGAAACATCTGATTCTTTTGCAAGTGATACAGAAATGAAAATTTTGTAAGTTTTAAAACAAACTAAATAACAGTAAACATTTCTTTTTCTTTGTTTTTTTTTTCTGTGATTTATGTTATTGTCTTATTTTGAGTTCTTTTGTTTTTAGAACAATATATACTAATTTTTAATGCATCAGAATGAATTTTTGCTTAATAAAAATCTTTCACATATGATTAGAATTTTTTCCCCAAAACTGTCTTCAAAATAAGGCTGTCCTATGTTCCGAAAAAAATGGGGTAAATATCATTTTCAAATATATTTTTCACAATCTTTCTTTTTTTTCACATTAATTATATAGATATTTAAAATGTTTAATTAGCTTGTTAAAATGTCTCCCTTGCTTCACAGGGTTGGTGACTATATTTTGTCAGTCAACAACACAGACATTGTTGGACAGAGTGACTCTAGGGTGCAGCAAATTCTGCGGCTTCTGCCACGTGGTCTGATCAAAGTAGTAGCTTCTGCAGTTCCCATCTCAGATTGGAAGCCATTTACTGAAGGTAAAAATTGAAATAAAGTATTTTTTCCTTTTTGTTATTTTTGATATTGGATTTATAAGTATTTGAAGCATATTGTCTTTGATATTGAATACATGCAGTATTTTGTAAACATGTGCATCTATGTATTTGGTTGAGCTGCTCTTCATTTGCTTTGTTCCTAAAGCCAACCCGCATCTTGATTTTTTTTTTTTTCTTTCTTAAAAGAGTTTGGGTTCTGACTTACTAATTGGATTACATGCAATATTTGACTTATAATTCTGACCATATTTCTTGATAATTTCTGTCTGAATTTTTGAGATGAGGAATTATCACTATTATACTCTGATTAATTTGAACGGTTACTGTCTTCTGTTGTCAAGTGGCAATAACACAAGAATTAGCTAATATTTAGAGGATAAGATGATTGAAATAATCAACACATATATTAAGTAATACTATCCTCCTCAGCAAAGAGATAGTTAAAAGATCCCTGATGGCATTTAAGAACAAAAAAAAGGATACATAATTTCTGTCACTTGAATGCAGACATTAAGTTTAAGAATTCAAAACTTTCACCACTGGATTGTTAATGTTGATTCATGTTGATTAAAATATGCCTGGTTTTAACACTTGGAAGTTGTGAGTTCAATGTTTAGGTCTGGTAGTGCTGAAAAGTTACATACTCTGATTCAGTGGAAGAAACACACAACACAAATAAAGGACTGGTTATTATTAACTGATAAGAGATATTCCTTGAGCATGACAAGAAGAATGAGAACAATCAACCATCATTGATTGAATAAAGTGTTCAGTTAAAAATTTCAAGGTTACTGAATACAACAACTGACTTCTGAAGAGGGTTACAACAACCAAAACATTGTGAGTATGACACCCAAGATGTGTATGCTGGTTTGAATAGCACAGTATATAATAATGATCATTCCTCAACAAAAAAATTTTTACAAAAAATTGTCAGTGTTATTTTTGAAAAATGATTTTTCTTGATAAATTTCAGTCAGAAAATTCTATTGTTGTAAATTTGATTATATATTTCCAGAATAGAAATTTAGGTAAAATATGGCTCAGAACTGAGTGCTTGCTTTAAGTTTATATATATTTTATTACTTAAACATTTAACTGCCAGAGAGCATATATTTTTCTTTAATAAAATTTGTCAAATATTCAGGATAGTAGATGAAAATAAATATACTGCTTAATAAATAGTGTCTACTTAAATATGGGTATCTATTCAAAAATAAAAGTTTAACTTATAAAATATACCTGATAAAAAATCCATTACTTATATATATAAGTTAATTTTGATAGTTGTATTTCAGTGTATATACTTTATGAAATGCTCAGAACTGATCATATACTTATATTTTTACTGACATAATTGTATATCTAATTGATGGTTTTATTTTTTAAGTCAATATCCTTATTTGATAAACATTATTTATAATGGGTATACATGTTTAAATAGACATTGTTTTTAAAAAAAGGAAAAAAACAATCCTGTGAAATTGATATCTACTGCTGGCCAAAGAAAATATACCTCTCAACAGGGATTGAACCTGCATTTCCTTTTTATCAGGTAAGACAGCTTGTAGCCAGGTTTGCTTTTGCCATTTCAGCCATGGAGGCACCTACAGGAAAGAGTAATTAAGCCTTGCTTTGCTGTAGTGTCTCTCGATCTCTGGCTGAGAGGTACATTTTGTTTGATAAGACTTGCTTCTTCTAAGCTCATAGATATCAGTTTCACTGTTGAATGGAAAAAAAAAACCCCAAAAAACCTCAAAACAGAGGTCTTCTTAAACTACTTCTTGAGATGTAAGAACTCCATGTATACTTGTGTTCCATATTTTACTTATTGTTATAAAGAAGATTAAACATGCATTGGTAAATCATTAAAAATAAATCTAAGTCCAACAGTGTTAGAAGAAAAGGTTGAGATTTGCTGGAAAAATTGGGATGAAAAAAAAACATTCTTGACATTTCTTCAGACCTAAAGAAATACATTATTTACACTATTCCTGTTTGGATTATTTTCCTTATCTTTGTTGTTTTTATCACAACGTTTCTGATGTTGTACCTTCCAGGCTTCCACAGGTGTATATACATGTTGACCTGGGTAACCTACAGGGAATTCTGAACTGAACCCTTTATTTAATCTACAATATAGTGAGTGGAACAAGAATGATCTACCCCCATAGATTAAATAGAGGATTCAGTTCAGAATTCCCTGTAGGTTACCCAGAGCACACAACAGCTAAAACACTGTGATAAAGTCAACAAAGATGAAGACAATAGTATGAATATAGTGTAAATAATGAGAACTCCTCATCCCAGAAATTCAGAAATACAATTGTATATCGACAACTGAATATAGTACATAATATTTGTATTTAATTCTTTCTGGAATATTTTAAAATGCCTTATTAACTGAAATAACAAATAAGCTTAGTGAATAGCATGTTTTATTTTTTAATATTATAATAACCATTTACTTATAATAAATAACATTGCATGATATAATAATTATAATTAACCAAAGACAAAAACCAATTTAAATAACCAAAAGGCCATAATAGATTAATTGTGTATTATTAGCAAAATGACTTTGGTTAAGTATTTTAGTTCTGTACTATGAAAGAGTTTTAAAACTTTTATTTCATTCACAGTCACATATTCTACCAGCATCTATAGTCCTTTAGTTTAATTCCAGCATCTGCAGGCCTTTGCTTTAATAGGCGTTTTTGCAAATGGTTTTATTATAAATTCTCCTAAAATTTACAAAATCCATGAAATAAGCATATGGTAGTTACTTATAAAATTTAAAATACTTATAAAATTCAAGATGTATTTTTCAAATGAAAGACTAAAGAGAAGGAATTTATAGTGAACATATTTTATATTAAGAAAATTTCATTTTGTAACTGTCTTCATTGGTACAATTGGTATTTATATTCTACTTACTGAAGCAATATTATTACAATATGGGACACATGTTAATAAGTCTGTAGCCTAATGATGAAAATAGCATTTATTTTACACAATCTAATTCTTTGTTAGTGCACTTAATTCAGTAGTGAATATTAATCAAATAGATTTGTCATTATACAGTGAAAGTTTCAGATCAGAATTCAATTATTAAATATGTTAGGCTAAGAATTTTATGAACTACCATCATACATCAAATCTTTATTAATTATGATTAATTTTTATTAATTATAATTAATTTTAAGATCATTCATACTATCATTTATGGCTAGGAAAAATATCTGCCATAAAGATTTACCATATACTGCTTTCATTATTAGCTTGTTACTGACTATAATTAAATAACAAAATAATAATCATAACATTGTATTTAGTAGATATTTATTTTATGTGCATTGATTTTTTTTTTTTTTGTGGGGCATAACAAGGAAGTTCTGTTAAGAGAAAAGTAATAGAATTCTCAAAATCTTGTAAAATAAATATATTGCAAAAAACTTTAATAAAAGGCAGGATTTCTTCAACATGCTACCTCAGTGGCATTGTCTTGATGTGTCAGTCCACTTTCTCTTAAGTCTTGCTTTGCATTCATTCTCTTTGTATTCCTTGCTCAATTCTGCAGATGCTGAGAAGTCGTCAGTTGGAAGCTCAGGCACAAGTTTGGTCCCTGTTTCTCTTACTACTCCAATAAAGATGTCTGACAGCTTCAGCTTGAACTTGTCAGGACGCGGCTTTAATTCAAAGACAGCATTAGAAAAGAAGCCATCATTATCTTTCTCTTCTGCTCTTAATGTATTCTCCAAAGACCAATCATCAGACTCTGCAAAACAATCACCGCCACCAACTGTCCCCTCTATTCCAACATCAGTACATAAAGATCAATGTGACAAAACAGAAACGTGTGTAAAATCAATTGCCTTTACAAATAACCAAAGTCCACAGATTGATAAAATGCAGGGTAAGCATGATTCTTCTTCTGAACACTTGCCTCCAAGCAGCCCTGAAAGTGTATTGAATCAAGTCCGGATGTTTGAGAACTGTTTTCAAAAGAACAACTCCAGTCAAGAACTTAAAGGACCACTTGTTTCCTCAAAGCAAAAACTTGTTGAAACATTTGAGTCAGGAAATCAGAAACCATTGCCAGAGAAAGACAGTAAGGAAGCAGTACCTGATATTCTGCAGAATGGCACTGCAAAGACAATTACTAATCCTCATGATGATGTGAATAAAATGACAGAGTCAGACAACAGTGACTACAGTGAAGACGTCATTATACCAATGAAGAATACCAAATACAAAACATTTAGTGCCTTGCCAAGATCCAGTGCTCCTCGCATACTGGATTCATTCTCAATTTGGGATAGCATGGATTCAATTGTCATGGAAAATCAGAACAAGGATTTCCAATTAAAGAAGAAAACAGTAAGCCAAGTTAGTTCAGCTCCTAAGGATGCCGTAAAAGAAGAGGTAATAATTCCAACAAAGAAAACATCTGTACAATCTCTAGTGAATCATTTCAACTATCCCCAAGATTCTAGCAAATCTAATTCTTTCAAAACTTGTAATGACTCAATTGTGTCCAAAGGTATCAAAGTAAACAGTGAAAATGCTATCAATCACTTGCCAAAACCAGCTCTTTTGGAAGAAACTATTGAGCCAATCAGGAAAGCCCACATAACCAATATGTCCAAACCGCTGCCCATCAGTTTTTCTGATATGTTTGATATTGATGAAGTATTGCTTATTGAGAAAATGGAGAAAAAAGACTCAAAACCTGATCTCAAAATGACTTTGACAGGTCCATATTCTGCGATAGTAGAAGTATCAGAACCTGTTTTGAAGCCAGAAAAGAAAACTGAAGATAAGTTTATGAAAAAACCTGTGGCTTCACTCAGAAAGTCCTACATTCTAAACTCATCTAGAATACCTGAAGATAACAATGCCATTTCAGAAGTGAAGGACACCAAACCTGAAGTATGCATTGGCATTGCTAGAAGACTTTCTCAGTGTGCCGTTCCTGATTGCATTGATATCATGAAAATCCCAGAGGTGGTACCTGCAGAAACTGCTTTTCATCACATGGAAGAGAAGATAGTTCCACAAGTAAAGGACAAAAAATTTGAAACTTGTATGGAAACACCAAGCACAAAGCGAGCCAAAGCTATTAGCCTTTTGGGCAGTATAGATGATGATAAATATTCTCTGGCTCCATCGCAAAAACCTGAATCAAGAGAGTTTGTTTCAGAAAGAATACAGGTTAATGAGGATCAAATCATTTCCCATGTTAAATGTTCTGTAGCAATGAGTGCTAAGCCAAGAGAGACTGATAACTTTGAAGGTGAAATTGTACATTTAGTTAGAAAATCCAAAACTTTGGAATCAAAAAAACCTGCTGAATGTCAGGAAATTAATTCATCCAACAGTGAGGATTTAAATTACCAATTAAGTGGTGAAAATCTGCCAAAATGTTCCTTGAATGTTGTAGAAAAGAAAGCAGAAGTAATTGTTAATGATATCATGAAGGCAGCCAAAAAAGAATTTTCTCAGACCAATGTGTCGAATGTTAATGATCCAAGTATGGTCATCTGTGATATTACAGGACACACACCCTGTAATGAGGAAAAGGATCTTCCTATTATGACTTGTATGGAAAATGCATCAAAATCTGACACTTTGAAAGATAGCCTCATACAAATAGATGAACCTGAAACAAGTTCAGAAATGAAACCTCAGAGACTGTCTACTCAAAAACGAAACCTTCCTTTAATTGAAAATGGAACACCTAAACCTCTACCCAGACAAAGCCGGCAGTTATCCCCTTCTCATGAAATAGAAGAGAAATCTAGAGTGAAACCAAAAATCATTCATCGAAGTCTGCCAAGTCCAAGTCTGAACCCTGAGATTCAACCTTCTGCTCTGGAGACTAATGAATCTCGGGTTTCAGCTGGGTTAATAAGTCCAGTTCCTTTCCGACGAAGTGTGTCATCTTCAGGTAGGTTAAGAAACATAAGTGAAAGAGATTCGAACAAGAAAGTTAATTTCTTCTCTGCTCCTTGTTCACCAATGCAAGAGCAGAAAACCATTTTTTCCAAAGAAACATCAACTAGTTGTTTAGAAACCTTACTAAATTCAGAATTACAAAATTCTGCTCGTGGGAGAGCTTTACCCCATACCCCGGGGCATAACGTTAGTCGATGTCTCCCTCGTATCCCTGCTGAAGAGTATAAGTTTGTTGGGAGGTCTCTTCCTACAGTACCAGTTCAATCCAGTACCTTGTCACCCTTTTGTGGTCACCAGATAGAGTTCAAAGCTAAAACATGGCTGAATCAACCAGTATTGTCCCAGGTGGCAAGTACCAAAATTAAATCCCCATCTGTGCAGCTCCAAGGTAAGAATGGTAACACTAGAAAGCCCACGATATGCTGCACATTTTCTGAACACTTCAGAGCAGTAGTTGCCTGTATTTTTTTTTTTTTTTTTTACACCTTAGCAATGCAAAAAATTGGCACCATCAAAATAACTGGCAACTTAAAAAGCAAAGACACACACATACACTAAAAGAAAAAGTCTCACTTCAGATTCTCATATATTAATGTTTTTCCTCAAAATTTCTTTTCTTTTTCTCTTCAGCACTCTGCTTTATAAAATGACTCGGTGTTATTTGTTTTTTCTTTCTTTATTTTTAAAATAACAAAAATAAATGGAGAAATTTATTAACCTTGGCCATTGTAGATTTTACTGGCTTGTTTGCTTCAAATGTTTGGCATTTTTTTTTTTTTTTTTTTTTACTGGCTTGATGTTCATCTTTTTCACTTGCACAACAAAAATATTTCATCTGGTTGCTGCTTTTATGTTTGGTTAGCATGAAGCCGATTTATGTATACCTCAATGTTTACAAATTGCAAAGGACTTATTTTTTGGTCATTTTGAATAATATAATTACTAACAGCACAAAAAGCATCGGAGTTAAGCTTGACATTTAAAGCCAATGTCAAAAGAGGCTCTTTGGAGAGCAACCAAGATTACCTGATTTTTTTTTATTTTTTTTATTTTATTATTTGTTTATTAACACTGTATATATTTTTAATAATATATTCTTGTATATAATACCTGTGTTTTATATCTTGGCAATTTTCCAAGATGTCAACTTTAATTTTTAGCCAAATGTTATAAAGATGGGATTATTTATTGTTGGATGGAGTAGAGCAGGGAGGGGAGAGAGATATTCAAACTTATAAATTAAAGATTAATAATTCTTTGTTTTTTAATTTAAAAAAAAAAAAATCTATATATAATACTATTTTTCCAAATTTTTTTTTTTTTTTTTTTTTTTACTGGAAACGGTGAAGTGACATAAAATTTGATTGTTACTTGTAGAGGTTTTAAGAAACAATTTTAAAAGTACAATGATTTATTTATAGTATACATTGTTTTGCTGGTAGATCATAGGTTTCACTATTTAAGTTTTGGTATCACATTGGGTTCCCACTTGAATTAGACATATGCTAAATCAGATGGATTTTGGAAAGATTTTATCTGGGCCAAATTTTATGACTGTGTAGACCAGGGGTTTTCAAACTTTTTGACTTGTGGACCCCCTTATAAACGCTTATAAAATTTATTCATAAATATTTGCTGAATATAACATAGAATTTTGCATTAATGCAAACGCCTAACAGCCAATGAGAAAGCCGGAAATCGCAAAATAGATCCAAAATTCAAATCCTTTGGTTCCTTCTCTGCATGAATAGAATCCATTATCTTTATCAATTTAAGATACAAATTATATTAGTATATCAAATCTATGAAATAGTTTATTGAATCAATTTATTTCATGATTGGCCTATAAGTTACTTATAAGTTGCATGTCACCCATAAAAAAGTGTTTGCTGTCCACGGACCCCCTATCTTGTCCTTGCGGACCCCCTGTGGTCTGTGGTCCATAGTTTGAAAACCCCTGGTGTAGACAGTAAACTTTAGAAATGAAGGCTTCAAACAGCCACCTTAGGAAAGGGAAGTAAATAAATGAAAACTTTTGGGATCAAGTATCACTTGACTGGAAGTTAGGGAATTCTAATTGTATGCTTATGTAAGCAGAGACACAGTTAAAATGGACAGTTCCAGGGAGTTTCAAGCCAAGTGTCATGAAATAGTAAGTGAGAGCAGATGGATTTTTAAAAGTTCTTATCAGCTGAAGAGAAGATCTGATCCATTAGTTTGTTATGAGAGAAGACAGAAGAAGTAGCGAAGAGTCACCTACCTACCTACCTGAAGACATGTTAGGTAAACGCATGAATAAATAACCAAATATATTGAAAACGGCATTTATTTTAATTTCTTGCCATTGCATTATTCCACACTGACATAAATTGAACTGAAACACAACATGGAGTGATTTAAGCAGTTGGCAAATGACCAAGAGAGGACTCCAGCAGTATGTCTCACTTTTGTTTCCTGCCCACAAACTACAAAAAGTTTAGGAAGGAAATTCCCATCAATACTTGTTGAGCCTGGTCAGTACCTAGGTGGGTAACCACTTAGGAATACCAGGTGATGTAAATTTGGATGTGTGGTAGTGTGATAGATAATGGCTTTGATTTTTTTTTTTTTTAATCGGAGAGCTGACTTCAAATTCCAGTTGGATTCATTATATTCACATGTGCAAATACCCTTCAGAATGGTAGGAATTCACCTGTTCTACCCTCAGCTATGGGTTAATTATTAAGACTTTTATCACTAAAACCATTATTATCTCATAAAAATAAAATTGTGTACAAAATATTTAGATTTCAGCATTAAATAACCCATAGAGATTGATATGCCACTAAACAAAATCAACCAAGTAACTCATCAATACGAGAGAGAGAGAGAGATATATAACAGTGAAATTGTGAAGCGTCTTTCCTTGAAAAACTGTTTTGAGAGATATATTTTATAAATTTCTATCTACAGTAATGCTGTTTGGTCAATGAATGCCAAATGTTTCCTTTATGGAAATGCCTAATCTTACCATTATCATTCTGAATATTTTTTTTTTTTTTTTACCTCCTTAGCAAATAAAAAGCAATTGTAAAGTTTTTTTCTCTTTACACTCAATAAACTAACCGAATTGACATTAGGAAATAAAAATAAATTTTCTTGTCCAAGTAAAAAAAAAAAACCCAAAAAACTTGAAGTAACATGGTCGGTTTCTCTTTTGTTATTTGAATGTTTTATTTTCACATTTTCTGGGTGAAGGGATTGTTTCTGTTATAGAACGTTTGGTAAGCTGCACTGTGCACTGCTTGTGTGTATTCTTTTGTTTTTATTTTTGTAGTTGTCTTTTTTTCACAGGTGAAGGTATTTGACTTGCTTAATTGAAGGCTCTGCATATTTTAGCGTGTTAAGCCGAGTGGGTCTCTTTCTATTATTTCACTTACAGTTTATTAACCTTTTTTTTTTTTTTATTATAAAAGCTTCCCCTTATAATTCTCCTTTCAAAGCTATATTTAACAAATATAGCAATAATCTTTCTTTGAAAAAATATTTCTATTTCTATGAGTCTTTTATAGTTGACTTTTTCATCAACAAAAGTCAAGAATTTGCTAATGTTTGATGCAGTAATTACTACTTTTTTGCCTCAGAACAATTTTCTATTTCTAATTTTTCATTCCTATGAAACTATCTGCAGCCCAACCCAGAATGGATTATAAAAAAAAAAAAAATAAAACATTTCTTATATCCAGTTATTTGATCAAAGGTTTATAAGTGGGTCAACCAAGAACTTTTCAGCACCCTTTGTATATACTTCCAGATCGTCATATATACATATTAAATAAATAAAAATTTGATCCTCACTGATTTAACCAAGTTTCATTGAATGGTGAGGAACAAATATATATTTATTTTTACTATAAATATTAGTTGTATATATTGTATATCAAGCATGGTTTCATTACCATCAACACGTGCTATATATATATATATATATATATATATATATATACACATACACACACTCTTACAATTGCCAAAATTACGTATATGTTTACCTAGATTTTCCAATTTTGAATATTGTAAAAATATTTTCTTTTAAAATTATGAAAAAAGTAATAAATATTAATAGAATATACAAAATACTCATTTTCTTACTATTATTGTTATTAAAGAACAACTAAAATAAGGAGCAACAAAAATTTTTTACATGAAAATGATTGTTTATCATGATTTGTAAAGGTTAAAGAAAAAGAAATAAATTTCAATGCAGAGATATTTTCATGCATTTTTATATAACTATACAAGACTTGTCTGTATACAACTAAAACGGATAGGAAAAACATTAAAAACTTAGCTATTAGGAATTGTGTGCATCTTGTGTTGCTGTTGTTATCTCCTGTATGCTAGGTTGAAAAGAAGAAAAAGAAGGATTATGTTTCCTCTTTTATAGTCCTTAAACAATGTCACTTAACAGGCATCTTGGAAAAAGTGGAGATAATGCCCACACTATATTTTGGGCTAGAGGTCAGAAATCATATAAAAATTGTGGATGGAGTTGTAATTATTGACATTATAAATTAAACTGCTTTTTTCCAGTCTGCTTCTGTATGCATATAAGCAAAATCTGATAGGGACATGACTAACTGGTTAGACCATTTGCTTTCTCAATGTGAGACCTGGGTTCGATTCTTGGTAACTGGTATTGACAAACATGTCTGCATGCAATCCAGGGCTTTTGTATCTGTACCAACATGCGATTACCACACTGCAGTATAAACGCAGGTGAGCTCTATGCGAATTGAACAAATATAAATATGCCTGAGCAGACGTCTACAAGAGGGATTGGATAGCTGCCTTAGCAGGCAGTCATACCTGGATATGAGTGGCAATCAATATTATTATAATCAGATTTTAAAAATTCTCAAGAAAACCAAGTTAAAATAAAAATTCTCAAGATTACCTGAATATTGTCATATATGATTATTAATCTAGCATCTGTGGTTGATTTTTCTTTACGTAACATTTTTCTGTCTAAATTAACATCCTGCAAACTACTAAAATCTTTCAATTGATGTCTGCAATCATTTGCATTGCTTATCTTTTTAATTGTTTCATTCATTATTTATATCAGTTTGTTTTAGTGTACTTCAGATAAATTGATATTGTGAAAGTTACAATGGTATAATTGAGAACTGTCAAAAGTTTTTCTTTAAAGTAATTTAAACGATACCCATTTCAAGAATTTAGTTGTAGAATATTATGTAAAATACTCAGAATTCAAATATACACAGCTGAAGGGGTAAATGCTCCATTATGTTATGCAATTACTTCAAAACACTTGAGAAAAGATGGCGATTGAATATAAGGGAGATAATCGCATGACTCAAGTTTTTACTTTGTCTATAAGTGAGAATCTCTTGTAACTGGTTGCTATAAAATATGAGTCTTTTTTTCCTTTACTTTTGGGTTAAGAAAAAAATAACTTCAAATCACTGATGATAAGAGAAGAAAATGGGTAATGTTTATTATTATTCTATCATTATTATTAAAGAAAAGGCTTTTTTTTTTTTTTTTTTAAATTTTTTATTTTAAAGATTTATGTCTTGTATGTTTAAAAATACTTGTTTGTCATTTATCTCAAATGTATACTTTTCATAGGTATCCCTATGTGCATATGTTTTATATATATATATATATATATATATATATATATATATGGGAAAACAATATATAGATTTTTATATATCCAGCACAATTTTGGTGAAAACTATGACAAAATTGAAGAAATTTTGTCCTTTAGGAGTTCATCAGACTAAAGTGATGTTTGCAATAATGTGATTACATGTGCAGAGAGAGGACGCTGACATTTTTTTTAAAAATATATATTTTAGTTATGTTTTGCTGATTTCGTTTAGTTTCTGTTTGTTTATTTATCAGTTCTATTAATAAAAAAAAATTTAATTCTCTGTGTTCCCCTCTTCTTTGCATGTATGTGTAGTTGCATCAACATAAACTTCACTTTAGTCTGATGAAATCCCAAAGGGTAAAATGTATCATACAAAACATTTCCTACTTTGTCATTGTTTTTTCCCACCTACACACACTGTGGGGCAGAAAAGTCATTAGCTCAACCAACAAGAGATTCTTGATATTTGTTCAAATTTTGGGAAGTGGGTTGGGGTAAGAACTTTTCAGCACCCTCATATAATAAACCAATAGCCTAATGATGAGAAAAAAATTTTTCCAAAAGAAATATTTATTTTTTTAACAGTCTTCTTCCTTATCACTGTTTTTAATTTAGTGGTAATTATTAATTACATTTAAAAATTCAGATCAAAACTCAGCTTTATGACTATTTCAAGATACAGATATTGATCCCTACTCTTCATATATAACATATATCTGATGGTATATAAGCTCCTCAACCTTTAATTTTAATATTACAGTATTATAGAGTTTGGCTAGTTACAAGTACTGGTACACTATGGGATCTAGGTAAACATTAGCCTATTGCATATAATACCTCGGAATTTTTTGAGTAAATTTATTTTTTATTTTTTTTAAGTGTGAACCATATATGCCATCATTACGGTGTGTGTAATATATATTTTAAGATTTAATGGATTTATTTTCAATCCAACATTTTTATTACTTCAAAAATTGTATTATTATTTCTGTATGAAAAGAAATAGCCTCCTCATTTTTATTTATTAAACAGTGTGTATTAAGTCTATTGACCTGTGTATTCAAGAAATCTCAGTAAAGAAAAATGTGCTCCTTGTGTCTCCCTTTGTAGGGGGAAAGCATCATTTGATCCAAGCCTCTTTATTACTTCAAATATTATTATAGTGCATACTTTGTATTCCTTGAATGTGCAGGCTGATAGACATAATACACACTATTTAATAAATACAAATGTGGTCATCTATTTCAAATATGAAGTATCCATTATAATAACATTTAAAGTAATAAGTATATATATATATATATATATATATATATATATATATATATATATATATATAAAAAATTTGTGTGTGCAGCAAGTATTTGAGAACATACCCTTAGCAAGATGTGGAAGATGACCCAACCTTTTTTGTTAGTGTTAACCCAATACAAGACCCAAGAGCTACTCAAGATAGAGGGTTATTGAATGAGGTTGTTGAGGGTATACAAGAAGGAAGTAAGAGGTTCATATTATGAAGGCATATAGGATAAATAAATTAAGATTGTAGTGAGTGGGGAAGCACCTTCTTGGGAGTCTACTTCATAATATAACAGTTGTCCGAGTAGAACTTCATCCTTACCAATTGTATTGAGAGCATTAACATCTAATCTAATTAACTTCTAATCTGTCATAGGAAATGTAAATGCATGACATCAGCTCATGATACTAGCTGCCAACCACATGAACTTGGAAATTCTTGGAAATTCTTGGAAATAGTCTGAGGAACACCAAGTTCACATCATCTGTTCTGGTTCTGGGGTAATGAGGGACAAGGACATGTTGCTGCACTTTTTATCACGGTCAATGCCATCACGTCCATTGAGGTGCCAGACATAGGGGTCAATCAATGGATCAAAAATGCAGTTATATATGTTCCAGCAGAACCCTGCTCCTTTTTCTATAGTGTCCATTTGACACTGGAGTTGCTGGTCAAGATTTATTGCCCCTGACATGTGACCTAACTCTCCTTATTAGATTTTTTTTTTAGAATACTATATCTAGGCCAACCAGTGACCCCACAATATCAAGGATTTATTGAAGGTTTTCATCATGGATAATATAATCTTTGTATACAGTCACCTTTGGGGGAGGCTACATCAAGGTCATTTTTGAGGCTGTGGGAGATTTTATTGAATAATTCTGTTTTTCTCAGTTGAACATTAGGCCAGCAAAATTTTAAAAAAATATGAAAGACCATATTGGTCATAGAAAATTAACCACAAGAGTAAACTTTTATAGTAAATTACTGAGTATCGGTGAGATAGAAACATATATACAGAGATGGATGGTGAGAGAATGCTTTTATTGAATACAGAGTTAAACGCATTGATTATGAGGGTGAAATTTGTTTTATTATGTAAGAAACAAGGAACACAATCAAACATAAGGATATAGCTATACAGGTTCACATCTCTATATAGTCACTACTTCTTCTTTCAATGGCAGTGTTCTACCTATGAATGAGAGTATGTACCTGAGCTTCATAAAACTCAGCTGGCTGCTAATGTAAACAATTCCTTACAGCAGTTTTCACTTCTTCATCACCACCTTAATTTTTGCCCCTCAGTGGCTTTTTCACTGAAACCAAAAAGATTGAAATCTGAAGGTGCTAAGTTAGATGATGATAAAGAAATGAAGACTGTTGTAAGGAATTGACTACATCAGCAGCAGCTGAGTTTTATGAAGCTGGGATACATGCCCTTATTCGTAGGTGGATCACTACCATTGAAAGAGATGTTGACTAAAACGCAGCCATTGAAAGAATTAATGACTAAGTAGAGTATATGAACATGTGATGTACTACATCTTGTATTACAATATTGATGTACTACATCTTGATGCACAATATAATATTCATGTACTACATCTTGTATTACTATCTGACACCCTCATCAATACAAAAACAAATTGGTTGAATAAAGTCATGCTTCCGCAAAACTGAATTTTTCATATGAAAATTTATTCTGATGAACATAAATTAACTATTTTTAAAACCCCTCACAGGCTACATTAGGTAGTGTCATAGGTCACATGAGGCCCATAGGCAATATTTTGCGCAGGCCTGGTAGAGATATATTGATTTTTCTATTGAATATTTTTTTTTTTTATAATTTGTTCTCAGTTACCTGGTGCACCATCTGTGTATGTTTATATAAGATATAATCAATTTAGATATCATTAAATTACCAATGACCTGTTTTAATGTTTTCTAATTATGCTTATCATATCCTTGTAGATGCTCATTCAAAAATTACCAGTTATCCAGAAGTTTCCTCAGTGGAATCACATGTGTGTCTACAAGAAACAAATGAGATGGAAGAGAAAGAAAAAACGCCAATATCACCAGTTCCAGTGACAAGAACAGCCTCTCTGTTAACGAAAAGAGTGGACAAAGTTGAAACGCCACCTTCACCAGTGTCCCTTCAGCCATCTACAACTTTGACTGGAAATGAACAAACAGATCACGAAGCACCTCTTATTGTGAAATCTTCACTTACTCTCTCTTCTGCAGCCAAAACCCTGCCTCAGGAAGAAACTAAATTGTCAGCTTCTGTAAGCAATCTAAAAAAGAAGCCTTTGCATTTTTGCCAAGATGGTTTGGAGGTGCTTTCAAGCATGTCAAATGCTTATGAAGAGGAAAAAGTGCAGAATTGTTTGCCGTCATCAGTTGAAAAGTTACCCGAAGTAAAGTCGGAAATAGCTATCTCATCATCACCCCAGAGAGCTGTATTCTCTACCAAAGGTGTGCTTAGTGCATCTAAAATAATAGCTGAAAGGCAAAAACCAACTTCACCAATCGATACCTTTTCCTCCTCGCCACTCTTGCCTGAAGTTGGCAAGAAAAGTCCACTTTTGGCTTCTACTGTACAACCAGTTTTGTCATCGAAAAATGTGACAGAAAATTTGGTTTCTTCACCTTCAGCCTCTCAGTCGACTTACTACTTAGAAACAATGCACAATGATTCTGCTCAGACATCCCCTACCAGTCTCTCCCCTCGCAGATTTGGTTCAACAAATAGGAAGCTGCCTGATATTTTTCAGGATTCCAACACATTCAAATCTTTGAGTTCACCAACCAGGAATAAGTCATTTCTGGAAGAATTGGCCCCAAGTGAAAGTGTCCCAATAGAAAAAAATGTTTTAGAACACGAAGACAAGAAAGTTAAAGAGATTTCTAAATTAGAAGTCTCACCATCACAGACAGTCAGAGCAGAACCGAAAATGACATCTGATCCCAAATTCAAGAGCCATAGTATTGAAATCATAGAAAATGTTCCCAAAGTTGAAGTTGCTGTCTCGCAATGTATTAATATTGAGCCTACAAAAGCATCTGCATTGCTATCAGAAGTGAAGGCTGAAAAACAAAGTGTACAAGTAATGGAAGATGTCTCCAAACCAGAAGTAGCTGTATCACAGTTTATTGGTATTAGACCAACAACAGCTACAGATTTACCTGAAAAAGTAAAAAAACACCATGCAGCAGCAGTAGTGGAAGAGATTGCTAAACCTGAAGTTGCCGTGTCTCAGTTTATTGGGATCAAGCCAACAACAGCATCCGATTTATCAAATGTTAAAGAATTGAAAGAGAGTAAGGTAGAGTTTTCAAAACCAGATAAAGATGCATCAAATGTAAAAGAACAGGAGCAGAAGATTCCAGCTCCCAAATCTGAAGTTGCCGTTTCAAAATTTATTGGCTTGCAACCAACTACAGCAACAAAACTTTCTGAACCTGTGAAAAGTTCACCAGCTTATAATGCCCCCAAAGAGCCAGAAAAACAGTCTCCACGCGACAAAGTCAAACTCACATCAACAACCCAACCAGATATTGTGACATCAGCTGAAACGGGAAGGCCTGCTCTGTTACGCTACAAAAGTACTGATGCAACGCTACAACATGTTCAATCCCCTCTGCGAAAGAGTAGAAATGAGGATAGCCTTCCCACCATTCAAAATGAAAAGTCTGGGGCAGCAGGGCGTCGTCGGATGGAGAAAACTCGACCAAGGAGTGAAATCTTTTCCAAGGAGATGCCTGGCATCTTTAGCAAGAGAAAATGGTGTATCAGCACCAAATCTGGCCAGACTAATTTTGCAGTACCCTCTGAACCAGAGACAGTTGATAGGGTTGTTCAGTTAGGGTTGATTGACGAAGATGACTTAAGCCAACTGCTCACAAGCGCTAACTTTGCATTGGACAAAATGTCATTTTCAAATAATCATGAAATCCATATCGCAATTCTGGAGAAAGATGCAACTGAAAAGATTGGAATAAGGCTGAAGAAAGGAGAAAAACAAGAACTTGTGGTAAGTTTATTTAAATGTGTTTAAGTGAGAAATTATGAGCTTTGTAATATGGTAATTATACTAGAATCTATACACACATTTTATATTCTAACTTTTTTAAAATTAAATTATTTGGTTAAAAACTGTTTCATGCTTATAAAAATTTTCTTAACCCATTGAACTTTGAGATTTGATTATTTGTCAGTACTCAGTGTGAAATTAACCCAAAATATCCACATTTTGGAATCACTTGCTATGTCTACTGCTAGGAAAGTTGGTTCACACATCAGAATCCATCTTGCACATTTATAAATCTGTGCATTGAATACTTCTGCTATATCTGGTCTGGTATTCCTAATACATCTTGTGATTCTTGACAAAAAGAAGGATCTGCAATGTAATCAGTCCTGACCTGTCATCTCAACTTCACACCACCTGCTCATTCAAGTTTACAGCAGCTTGGAAATACTCCAAGCAGTCAAACATCTAGATACTGACTGGCCTCAATCTTGCTTAACTTTGGTGATCGTATGGGAACTGTATTTCAATGTGATGTGGTCATAAGCCCTATGTTAATCTGGAATTTTAAGTTATGTCTTTCTACATCACTTACTGTAGTGGTTGGGCACACTGATATGGTGTAATGGTTAGCAAGCTTATATTGCTAGAATAATTACGATTGACTAGAAAATTTGATCCTCACTGAGTGCACCATACATACAACCTTGTGTCACATCAAAGTTATACTTAGAAAATTCCCACTTACTGCAGTGGTCATTATTTCTGAATTGATACCCACCTATAATAGATTTATTTTTTATTTATTTATTTATTTTGGTTTGAAGTTTCATGAGAACAAAATAATTCAAGATTTAGTTCAACTAGACAGTTTTATGAAATTAAGAAAACCATATTTATATGATTTTAATTTATTTTATTCAGATCAGTTTATTAGAGCCAGATGGTGCTGCCATAAAACAGAAATTCATCCTTATTGGAGATTGCTTACTTCTGGTGAATGGTAAACCTGCTTGGAATCAGACAGTGATGGATATGAAGGTGTGGCTGCAGACTATTGAGACAAGGATCATCCTTGTTTTGGGTCGACATCCATTGGATGGAGAAGGTAAGAAAACCTGATAAAGTGCCTACTTTCCTTATAATCTAAAGTAGGTGCTTTAGGCAGCTTTTTTTTTGCTGTTTTAATCCCATAAACATGAAAAGATTTGAGAATCTAAATCGAACAGAATAATTTGTTTTAAATCTGCTCCAGACTAATCAAAATTCAAACTGACTGATCTGTAAGGTACATTGGGATAGCAAAAGATGACTTCCAAAAGCTAAACAAGGTATTAAGAAACAAAAATGTTAAATTTAGAAAAGAGTTCTAAATTGTTACATAATATCAGTCCTCCTATATGGTAGTGAATGCTGGACAATCTTCTCTACAGATGAAGAAGAGATTTGAAGCAACAGAAGTGTAGTTCTACAGAAGGATGCTGAGAATACAATAGAGTGAGCATGTGAGTAATGACAAGATTTTAGAGAAAATGGAAACAAAAAAGTCACTTATATCTATCAGAAAGAGATAGTTGAAATTTCTAGGATACAAAGAAAGAGGGCTTGGAAAATGAAGAAAGAGGGCTTGGGAAATTTGATAAAATTTGAGGACAGATTGAAGGCAAGAGGAATAGAGGAAAGCAGTACATAATTTACCTTGCAAGCTTGTGTAAATAGTAGAACAAGGTTTAGGAGAGATAACAAAAATGCAAAATTTATTAGGTGCTACAAAGGACATGATCACCAACATCCTCAAGATACAGCAGTTTGGGTCATTATGATTGGGGAGACTTAACTGTTTTTTTTCACTAATAATAAAAGGTATTAAGGCATAACATCAACCTTATCATATAATAATTGTGCTTGTCCCTCTCTTTGTTAGTTTGCACAAACTTTATGACCTGCCAATACCTCATAAATAATGAACTATTCTGTTTTGATTGCACAAGCAGATAAACATTAAAGATCCTACTTGATTTCAGTGAGAAAATGAAAGAAAGATAGATGGAAGTGTTTAACATCTGTTTCTGTTAAATGGAAAACATCAAATTTCAGATCTTTTCATTTGTACCTCCTTACTTAAAATAACTACAAGCATTCATATTTATGATTCTTATTGCAATATTTTGTTAATGTCATTAAGCTCAGATATTTAACAATACAATAGGGGAATTTCTACGGATATTTTATTGTGGTAGAACTCACTGAGCTTATTCAATCATTAATTGAAGAAATAATATTCATCAGAAATTTAAAATAGGAAAACCCATAATATATATATATATATATATATAATTAAAATAGGAAACCCATGAAATACATACATACACACACACACACACACTATATATATATATATATATATATATATATATATATATACATAATTACTTAAACTTTTAGTTGGTACGCATGTTTGAGTAGACAACCTTGCAAACAGTGAAAATATACTTCAACTGTCCTATACATTCAAGAATCTTAAAGTCTAAATGCCTTTTCCTTCCAGCAGGTTTTAGACCTGCATCCCTGTTGTAAGGGAAACCACTGTTAAGCCCGTTATACCTTTTAGACTAATCAAACATAGAAAAGCTTGATGATTACCCTATTTTATGAAAGGTGCATCTCTTGCTCTGAGCTTTCAAACTCCATATATGCTAATTTTTAGTTTTGTATCTGAAACATAAACAAAGTAATTTCTCAGGACCTAATGAATTTTTTAAATTTATAGTCCAACATTATTTTTCATTATTTAAATGTCATATATTAATGGATACACATATTTGCGTAGAGATCATTTCTTTTTTGTTTTAAACATTGTAAATATACATCAGCCTGTGCGTTTTAATCTAAATAAAGAAATTATAAGAAAAAGGAAATGAGAAAGATCTTGTATATAAAATCAGATTTTTTCTCATTTGTTTTTCTTTCATCCTGTAATCAGTTCTGATTTATGGATCAATTTGTGGTTGGGTGTTTTGGTTGCTGAGGTGACAAGGGATTGGTGTAGCTGGTAGGCCTGTATTTCTATGAAACAGGATCACGGTGATGACTGCAAGGGAATGTATGTAGTGAGTCGGGTATGTCAAGGTGATGGCTGTGATAAGAAATTAGGTGTAACCTGTAGGCCTGTGGTGGAATGTCTCACTGTGAAGGAATGCCTGTAGTGAGTTGGGTTGGTGGTGATGAGGAAGTCAAATGTTGTTTCAATGAAACATGACTGCAAGGTCGTATCAGAAGTGGCATGACATAAATCTTGGTGTTTTTGGCATTGGGAGTCTGGTAGTGTCGAAGCTGGATGGTTGGCTGCATTCCATGTGTGATGTTACAAATAACACTGCTGTGTTGAGAGCGAGTTAGTGTTGAAGGTGGTCTCTGTTGCTTTCTGTGTGCGAAGAGTTGAGTGATTAGTCAAGCCTGGGAGTGGTAACAGTCATGTTGAGGTGAGCAGATATGGTGGTGGTGATGACAGCGGCAGTGCCTTGCATGTTGTTGCGAGGGGCCTGCTTTTAAGTGAATCTGGCTGTCCCCAGGGACATCTCCTTTTTGGCAGGAACATTTGTGATTGGCCCATATCACTTTCATTGTGGGGGCTTGTTTCAGTAACCAGACATGATGCTTGGAGCCTATGCGCAGAAAACAACTTTATTTTGTTTCCTGCCCTCATGTTGTTCACATCCAGTTGGCATGGAGAATGAATCAGAAAAAGAAAGAGATCTAATTGCAATGGAGTATAACAATAAGAAGCGAGAAAGACTATGCTCACCTGAAGAAGAATGTGGGTCTGTTTATAGCATGGAAGAAATTGTAAAAAAGCACCAGGCACTGGTTTTACACTAAATAATCACTCCAATAATTAGATAGAAACATTGAAATAAAGTAAGTTCATATTTGTTTGTGTACAATCTTTGCAATGACTGACCAATTTCACTTGAGTAACATGCATGCATCAACTTTTGTATGAAACTTGCCAAATTGGCTATTGTATCCTTTACAATATGTTGTCAGGCTTTTGACATACATTCTTTTGGTTAAATATGAGTTGAGATGAACACGTTTCAGGGTGATCAATTGCCAAGTCTCTCTCTCCAGGCCTACTCTCTTTTTGTTTTATTTTAACAATCTGCCTAAAATGGAGTATTGCTGCTGAATTCTCACTTTTTAGCCATGACAGAGTTTTGAAAACATTTACCTTGTGAGTGATGAATTATTTTCCACCTTACAGCCTCTTTCCCTACAGACAGAATGTTGCTAGCCTCTCACTACTTGGTCACTATCTTCCAGATGAGCTTGATTCCTTAGTTTTGTCAGTCCTTTACAGCGGTTGATTCATCCACACTCTCTTCATATTCTTTTCGTAAGGAGGGAAGGTCCACTTAGATAACCTCTTCCCCAGAACTGTTACTTTGTGGAACAGAGTCCTGAGTAGTCCCACATATTCCCATAAATTGTCTCTCTTACTCTACCTTGAGTGGCTCTTGGAACATGTACAAGGTGAACATCAATGGGTAAAAAAAAACAAAACAAAAGGGACATTTCCCTGATCACTATGAGCTTAACTTCTTTTAGTTAACCTTTATCTGCCCTACAGATGTTCATAATATGCTCTTCTTACTTTCTCCTGTAAGGATACAGAAGGCACTTGTCTCCCTTTTGGTGGCGATAAATCAGTTTGGTCATGTGATGGCCACCAAATGACGTCACTCCAGACAGAAACAAAAGTGCTTGTCCTTTTTCAGTTTGTTTACAAAAAACAATCAGTAAGGTTGCTTTCTTTAGCTCGGGCCCCTATGGCTCGGTGAGAAGCTAAATCTGTCTCTCCAGCAACTTACAAGTCCATGGTGCTGTTTCTCTTTGGGAATATATCTTTCCTAGTCTGTTTGAATCTGGAGTCCTAAAAATGGCTTCTCCAGGTATGAGAGTATCTCCATATTATCTGTAAGACCCTTCCTTTTTGTTTCTCCTTACACTCTGCTGTGTAGATATATTTTTCTGTGTGTGGGACACATGTATATATAGTTTTGTGTATGTCTGTAGTATAAAAGTCTGAAAAAAATATCATGTTTGTCATTCTTTTTCCTTTCAGCCATTCTGTTCTGTCTGTGAAATATCGGTGTTATTATATTATGGATATAATAATGCCTATAATATGGGAAATAGGAGAATGAATCTTTCTTCCCTAGCTCTCTCCCATTAGACTCCTTTTACAACCTCATTTGTTAACTCTTACTCTGTAACCCTCTACTTTGAGTGGCTCTTCAGTCAGCCTTGTATTGGGTGAACTCATGAGAATTGTTGAAAAAACTTTCATGTCTCACACTAATTGGAATTAGGTATAGAGTTCGTCAGGATCTGCTATTCCAGGAACATTCTAAAGACACTTTGCATTTTACTTATAGTGGTTGTTGGTTCCATTCTAGATTAGGAATGACTGCAAACTACTTTCCACTCTCCAATTTATAGGCAGAAGCACACAAATGCATGTTGGGATTTTTTTCTAGCCAATAAAATAGACTGGTTCTTGGTGTCATTTGACTCAGTCCCAGTTTGCTTTATATTATTTTTTGGCCTATTTTCTTTTCCTTTGTAATGATTTATTGTAAGTTTTGTCAAATCTGTTGGGCAGTTCTGCCATTTATTTATTTAATGATGGCCACTCAGTCTACACTGGTCATTTCCATGGAAACAAAATATAATAAGTTGTCCTTATTGCTTTTGGCTGGTGGGATCTTGTAGTTCCATCTTGAAAGGGTCAAATGTAACTTTATCCTAATTCTGCAGTGGTTTATAATTTTTTTTATTTCTTTCATTTAATGCTTGGAAACAGAAAATGATTGTGAATATATGGATATAATCTTCCATAAAACTGTCACTGGAATTGGTTTCTGCCTGGAAGGAGGGGTCGGATGTCCCTTGGGAGATCGGCCTATCTCGGTGAAGAGGATTTTCAAAGGTAAATTGGACATTTTTTCTTTTTTCATAACTAACAACAATAACATAAATCTTTTAACTATCAAATATTCTCTTATAAAACTTATAAATTTTATTAATATTATAAAATTTAAATATTCAAACTCTCAACTGTATGGTTGTGTGGCCATACCCTATCATCCTGACAAGATTCGCTAAACAAGCAATTGATCACACGTTTTTTGAAGATGGCTTGTCAGTGTATGCTCACGAGGGGATGAAGTCAGGGAAGATTTACTTGAACACACTGAACATAACAACAGCCAGTATTTGCAGAGAGAATCCACTTATTTTTCCAACAGCAGTTCCATTTGGTGGTGGTGGTATATATAACACTGTGACTCAATGTTGCAACTAGTGGACACTCTACCAGCCTGACAACACTTTCTGTTCAGATGAAGAACACTGCCTTCTTATATATCTGTAGTCACACTACTTACACAATGGAACATCTAAAATTTGTACCATCTGCATATATGTAGATTAAAATAGACAACAGTATTATTTACTCAACTCTACTTAAATAAGTGACCTAATGACAATAAATCTCATCCGAGCCAGCCAGCCATACAGTGTTACAGCTCTTAATCTCTCCCAAAATTTAGTCTAAAAACCAAATGATTTAGGCAAAGAATTCATTTTAATAAGATTTTTAACTTCATTTAAGATATTCTAATAAATTAAAACATTCTGTCACTGATTTTCTGATTTATTCTTACCATATCTTGATCTCAAACTTCAAACTGAACTCTTTATTTAATCTTCAGGGGTAGGTAGATTGTCCATGCCTAGGCATATCTCATCTTTGTCTTTTTAGTACTGCTCAGTTACTACAAATTTGATCCCTGGGTTGGATAGTACAGATTAAGAAATCTGAAATAGGATTAGCAATAACTAAGCCATACTAAAATAAAAAAACAAAAAACAAAATGAGATATTCCTAGACTTGGACAGCAGAATGAGAACAAACTATCTTTGTAAATTAAATAATTGATTCAGTTTGAAATTGTCAATCTAGGTAAACTTCAAGCAGACACCTAAAGGCTTACTGCCACATCACATTGATACATTGGTTCTTGTATGGTCACTAAAGCTAAATAACATTGAGCCTGGTCAGTACCTAGATGGTCAACTGCTTGGGAATACCAGCTTAGATGTGCAGGTGGTGTAATAGATAATGGCTTTGAATTGTTAATTGGAGAGCCGAGTTCCAATTTCAGTTGGTTTTGTTATATTCACTTATGTGCAAATAACTTTGAGAAAGGCATGAATCAATCTTTTCTCCTCCACAGCTATGGGTTAATTAATAAGACTCTTATTACTAAAGCCCTTATTATCTGAAAAAAATAAGTGTACAAAATATTTAGATTTCAGTACTAAATTACTCAGAAGTTGATATGCTCCTAAACAAGACCAACCAACAGGCACTTGAAACATTTAAGCAATAACAGCGACCTTAGTTTGACTGTAAATAAATTTGATCGATTAGGATCAAAATTGTATTTAATTTAAGAGATATTTCTGGAAATGATTATTTTAATCAAAGGTATAAAAGATGAGGTGAATTAAAAAAAAAAAGTCATCCTATTAAAGCCTTTACATACAAAAGAGACATTTGCTTTTTAAACATTTGATGACAGTTTTTACATCTCTAGTTAGTCCCCCCCCCCACCGCCTTCTACATGGATGTCCATACTATCACAAATATAAAATTCTGCCTTTTCTGCTACATTATAAAAAAGGAATTGACTGTAGTCAGGATCATTGAGTCAATGTGAATGATGCTTTCCTTAGCTTCATAGCATGTGTTTTGCCATGGCTACATAGTTTTTCCTTCTCATAGACTGGTTTCCACCCAAGGCTATAGAACCCAGTCCATTCTGCTATTTACCCATAACTGTGAGAGAAGAGATGGATTCATACCATTCCCAAGTGTATATCCCACTATTCCTCTCTTACATTATAATATGACTTAATTACCAAAAGAAAACATTTTTTTCATCTATCAATTAAAAAAAAAAAAACATCTATACATACAAAGCATTTTTAAAGGTAAACGTTAACCCTACATACAATTTTTATTTTACTTGCTACCAAGTCTGTTTTGGATTATTCATTTTACTTTTCAAGACTCAAATATTTTCTGTAACATAAGGAAAGGTAGAAAGAAATACTTTGAAGAAAACTTATATGAATTACACTTTTAAACCTGCTTTATGCAATTATTTTATTTTACAAAGGTGGACCTGCTGAGAAAGGTGGCCAGCTGATGGTTGGTGATGAGATCCTTAAAGTTAATGATATGGATTTCCGAAAACAGCGTCATTTTGTTGCTTGGAACCATCTTAAGTTCCTGCCTGCGGGTGAAGTCAAATTGCACATTTGCCGTCGAAAGAGTCAGAATGCAGGAATGAAAGCTGTTCAACTTGAAGCATCCAGCAATGATTCTGAGGCAGATGTGTCTGCTTAATGTCTACATGTTTAAAGCCCACATTGTACATAATTTATTTCACTAAAGATTTAATAAACACTTCTGCTCCAACTTCAATGGAGTTTTTAGCTGCTACACTCTGAAAGTGCCAAAAACAAAAAAACCAAAAAAAAAAAACCAATAACATTTTCCACGATAAAGAAAAGTAACCTGTCTCTAAATGATGTCATTGGGATTTATAGTTTCTTTTCTTCTCTTTGTATGTTGATTCTAATCTCTGATGTCTTTTTTCTAATCCAATTTAAAATTATAATTTATGCAAACTCACGCAGCATGTCAGCTAGTGTTGACAGCTTATTGCTTGAATAAAAACATTAAAATATTATAAGAATAATCTCTCACATGCAGGCCATATATTCAATAAGTGATTAATTATTGTAAGATAACTGGTTTCAGCACAAATTCTAATAGAATTTCTAAATTTATTTGAATACCGAGATGAAATATTCTCAATTTTTTAATTTGTTATGAATTTCTAAGTTGAATTTGCTCAAATTGTTAACTTTTATCACTCTGTATGTGACCAGTGGAAAGAGAATTAATATGCAGGGTGCTACAGGTTAAAATAAGAATAAGGAATTAGCTTTCATCTTGTTAGAAACTTAACAGTTGAAATGTATTTGAATTAAAAATTTGTTAGTAAAAATTAATAATCTTAAATTTATTTTATTGGAGTTAAGATTTTAGATTAAAATAAAAATAATTTGCTTATATTTATTTCAACAATTCAGGTGAAGTTAATGTAAGTATATGAGAGTGTGTAAACCTAATTAGACATAAAAGATTTTGACTGTTCTTCACCCAAAGCCACAATGATCTGCAAGATGAGTGTGTTAAGCATTGCTCTATAGTAGGCGCCTTATAACTATTAGATAGGTTTTAAGCCAAGTATTAGCATTGTTATTTTTTACCAACAAATCACATGAAATTTATTAAAAAAACAACACAATATCTATTTTACTAGATTTTTTAAAATTTCTGACTTAATATTTACTAAGATAATTGCCTAAGGACTGTTTTTGTTTTTTATTAAGCTTAATAAAATAGAGAAAAAAAAAAATAAAAATCTTGTGGAAAATCAAATAACATTGGATATTCATAAACAGAATTTTTGTTTTATATTATTGTATTCAAACTTTTCAACATATTCAGGACAATATACCATAAAGAAATTCCATTTCTTTTGTTAAATTTATCGTTTATATATATTACAAAAGTTAATTTTTTTTTGTGAATATTCATATTTGAATAGATGCTTATTTTTTAAAACAGGGTTTAATGTGTCTACTGGCCTGCGCATTCAGGAAAATTTAATGTCAGATTAAAAATATTTTAGATTGGGTCCAAAGCCAGAAGTATGGAGCACCTAGTGAAAATCGAAATCTGTATTTAGTAGTAATTGATATATGGGTCCGGTTTTTCTGCTACAGAACGAAATAGAAAATAAAGAAAGATAACTCTTAATATTTACATTCAATAGTTACCGCACGTGAGACTGAAAACCTGATAGTGAATTTGGTTGTTCTATAATCCAAATAGAAAAGATATGATTGCTTAACCATGGGGCAAGGGAAGAAGTAATAGGTAAGTTTTAATTTAATTTTGATTATTGGGTATCATTTGCATAATTTAAAATTTCGGAAAAGATGATGGGTAGATTTATAATACACTGAATTTGAAAATGACAAGGGTGGGATAAAAATGACTGATTATTATTATTAACAGGAGATTAACCATTGGCTATTTAGCAGATGGAAATATGACCCTGTACCAATTGGGTGGGTGGTTGAATTTAAAAAAAAAAAAGCATTGATATTTGGGTGGGATATTAAGCATAGTATCAATCTGAAATATTTCCAAATTCCAATTATATTCTTTCATCCTTAAAGAGTTCAAATTAAAAATCAGTTGTCTTTCATTTCAGATACACCTGGCCTATACTTTCTTGCCATTTTAAATCAACAATTCTAACTTTTCCTTTATTAATTTCTGTACTTTCTAGAATAAAAAAAAAAAAAAAAACGAAACAAAACAAAAAACACACACATACACTTTTTGTCTCTAAAAATTAGTTTTTATTGTTTTGGCGTAACGGCATAGATATTAATTTAAGCAAAATCTCTCTCTACACACACATACATATATATATATATATATATATATATATTTTTTTTTGATTACACTTCAACTAAAATATGATAATTATAAGTATTTCTATTATCAAAATTGTTTCAGCATGCCTCTTCAAATTTATACACATTAATTATACACCAGTTTTCATGTTTTGATTTGAGCATAAAAAGAATCAGAATTGAAATGATTTCTGAATATTGATCATGAAAACAAACATTATATAAAATAATTTGCTTAGATTGTCGTTAAACCTAATAAAATATTCATATCCACAATATGAAATTTATATCCCTTTTATACAGATTTACTTGGTCAGTATATTTATGTACTTCTAAAATTTACCTTATCAAAATTTGGTTCCTAGGAAGTAATTGTAAAAATAAATTTGAAAACTGCTTTGGCTTACAACAAATTTGCTCTGCTTTATCCTGCAGCAATAAATGGGCATACAGTTTTGTGATCAGGACATTCAATTTCATAAAACAAAGTTTTTAATTCAGCATTTGCACTTGTAATGCAAAATTCAGTAGAGGAGGTTTTCTATAAATTTTCACTAGAGATTTTAATTTTGCCAATAATCAAAGAAGAAATATAGATCCAAGTCAAAATGGTAATGAATGATGTCATATGAATAAAAGAGGAGAGGGTAGGTAATAAAAATTATGAGGATAGATAATGACTAACCATTGGTTTAGAGAGGTTAGGATTGAAGTGTTCAGTGCTAATTCTTGAGAAGAAGCTGTAAGTAGAACTTTTTTCTTAGTAGTCAGATGTTGTAATTTAGGAAACTAATATTTTATTCTGTCTTTGTAGAATTCTTTGTCTTATATTTTTGAGTTTCTAATGTTGTAAGATAAATTAGAGAAATTCTTTATGAAAATAATCTATAATATCTGATCAAAGAAAATTATTTGTCTATTGAGCACGAAATGTTCTTTATTATTGAATTAACAAGAATTAATCTGGATATGTAATTTTAGTTTCTTATAAAAGTAAAGAGGGTTTAAGATTAACACTCTGTTAGTACTGTGGGGTACAAAATGTTTTGCAAGTATGCAAGTCAGATTTTCCCAGTAGGATACTGAATAACTTATGACTAATAAAACCAGAAACTCCTTGACTTACTATTGGTGTACAAGCAGGTTTATTTACTGAATATAAAATGAAACCTATTTTTGCATAGTTGAATTTTTGAAATATACAAATTCTTTTAATATTGAATTCATTTTTTTAAAATAGATTTTTAAATTTTTATTTAACCAATAAAAAACATAATGAACATTCAAGTCAATATATAAAACTAATTAAATAATATATCTATAATAATTTAGATGGGGTGTTTGAAAACCACATGGTACTAATGCCGTGACAGTACCTTATAGTACTAATGGAGGGTTAAAACAGTCAATGACTTCATTTGGACAGTCATTTTTCTGTAGTGATCTGCCCACACAAAACACAGTGAAGTTCTGAGTAAAATATTATGTGCCTATATTTAAAGCTTAAAAAAATGTTTATAAATGAAAACACAAAATTAAAATCAGAGTAATACATGAATTACATTTTTTATAAGTGTTTTTTGTAAAAAAAAAAAAAAATTAATCTTGACTGAGGGTTTAGTGATAAGCTGTCACATAGAAGTTGAGCAAATTTTTCATATTTTATGCTCACCAAAATGTCTGTCCACATGTAAAAATCACAAAATGTAATAAAAAAGTATCAATGCTATTATTAATTTTTTATTTAAAAAAGCAAATCTCAATGTTTTAAAATAACCAATGAACTTTGCTTATCAGCATTTTAAAAATTTTAAAATTAAAAAAAAAAAAAAAAAAAAAAAAGCCATTGGGAAATCAATAACCCAGAATGGAAATTTTTGTTTAATCACGAGCATAGTGTTTTTTTTCTAATATGGATTCTGTCTGAATTGCTTCTTTTATTGCTTTGCACAAATATAAGAGCTAAGATTAGAAAAAAAACTAAAAAAAAAAAAACCCCCAAAAAACGATAAAACAGTTTCCTCCTGGTGTCCGAAAAGTCTGAAATTATAAGGGAATCACTTTATTTCACAAATTCTGTTTATTTGTTTTATACAATAAATTATGTGTCCAGCCAATTATTGATTAAATAAATGAATTCTGTGAAATAACAAAACAAAGAATGATTCCACTCAAGTTTTAATGGATTTGGAAGCGGGGAGGGGGAAAAAATTTATTGCAAACATTGATATTTCCATCTTGCTACACTTTTGAATACCTTGAGAAATACTTACAGAATATTTTTAATTCTTTCCATACAATCAAGACACTATAGTTTTTGTTTTATTTTTGCATTAAATTTTTTTTAGTGTTAAAAATCCACCCAGGTTAATATAAAAAGGAATGATATTTGTGTGTGAATGTTAAGTTACGTCATTTTACCATAAGATGGTTTGATCAAAATTTGAGTTAATGAGCATTTTCAAAAGTTACTTTCATAATTCTAATCATATGCTGCTTTTTTAAATATTTCTTCTTCCACAGTTTCTGAAAAGAATGACATTACCAATAATGTTCTTTTAAAAAGAAGAGCTTTCTTGAGATATGGAAGTAACATGTTTATCTTTTCTTCACTAACCATTTGTTATTGTGGTATTGGTTTATTAACAAGCTGTAACTTTCCCAGAATAAAAAAACAAAAAAAAACAAATCCCAATAAAATTCCTAATTATTTTTCCCTTTAATTAAATATCAACACTCACATGAAAAAAAAAATAACAAAACACAATCTACTTAAAAGATTTTTATACTTATACACAAATATAACTTGTCTGTAACATGCAATAAAAATAATATATATATATATAT